TTACAGCTGATTGTTTCTATCTCAACTTCACAATTCTATTTAATCTACTTAGAAACTCTCTTCCCCAATAGTTTATAAGAAAAGGAGAGATTCTCTGCAAGATCAGTAAAAAATGTTTGCTTAATCAAATTATACTTCTTAGCCTTTGACAAGCATTATCATCACAGAACAAAAATTTCCTATGTAAATGTTTTTCAGATGAAAGAACAAGTCCTAGAAGCAAAATTCAATCTTCCCAGAGAGTAATTAAAAAGAAATTGTTTCTAAACTTTCAAACTCATAAATACCTTTCCAGAGGTCTGAAACCGGCAAGTCGCTTAAACCACTACACTTCAATATATAAAATAAAGCTACAAATGAAAATAACAAGTATGTTCAACTAGTAACATCTAACACTACAGATTACATATAAAGTGCCAGAAGTAAAAATCTTTATTGGCAACACTGTCAATACTTTTAAATAAAAAGTTAGCCCAGGCCAGTCTGATTCAAAGGGTTTCAGGTGATTCCCAGTCAAGGGCACACACCTATGTTTGATCCTCAGCCCCAGTTGGGGTCGTGCAGGAGGCAACCCAATAGATGTGTCTCTCTCACATCAATGTGTCTCTCTCCCCCCCCCCTCTAAAAATCAATGGAAAAATATTCTAGAATGAGAATTATACAGAAATTTATACCTAAGGATTTTTTTAGTATCCAAACTGAAACTAAAATCAATTCTTAGCAACAAATCTCAAGCAGAGATTATGTATTTTAAAGCACACACAGTAACATCTTAATATAAATGTCATTAGGAAATAGTGTCCTACATCATCAAGTAAGCAGAACATGGGAACTGACCACCTTCGAAACCAGGCTTGGAATAAAACTCTTCCTAAGGCTTCCTGTGGAATCCCAAACACAACTCAGGGAAATGCAGCACTAACAGTACAGTGTTTGACTCAGAGTCCATTTTGTGTTCCTGTTATTTGTAGGTTTCCATTTTCTTTTGTGGGATTGTTTCCTATTGTCCATTTCGTGTCAACCCTTAGAGCAAGCCATTTTGGGATCCTTTAGTGCACCCATAACAGCTCGTGCATAGAGTCTGGGTCTAAGGGATGCTTGAGCCACGTGTGTGCTGCTCAAAGAGTTTCTCTGTAACAACTGCTCATTTTCTGCTCTGTTCCAGATAGCCACTACTGATAAATGATCTAAAAATGTTACTATACCCTTATTTCCCAACTGCTTTAGCATGTTCTCTAGGGTTAAGTGCACATTCACGCATGTGACTAAAACCATTCAATTTCAAACATCTGCATTGTGTTCACTATTTACTTTTTCAGAACCTTTTCTTTGGAAAGTGGTTTTTACTAATGTGCAAACACAAGTTTTAAAGAACCATGCAGTGTAAAAGAAATATTTTAACTTATGGTATTCACAGGAACACCAAAAACCAGTGCCAGTGATAAGAAAAAATTTCAATTTCTTACAAATTTTACTTTGTATATATAGTCTGGGTTATTTTAAATCTTCATTGTGAAATTAAAGATAGTTGGGTATATGTACAGAAACTATATTATTGTTTACAGTAAATTTTTCTATTTGATTCCTGAATTGGTTTTACAGGTACGTTGATTTGTAAGGGCAAATAGTATGTGAGTCTTTTTTTTTTTAAGGTACTTGGGAGCAACTTTTTAAATGGTGGTAATGAGTATAGCCCCTTGTATACATCTTGAGGCATACACAAATTTCGGTAATGCTGACATTTAAATGCTGTTGAAAGTACAAATATCTTGATTTGAAAATTTACCATTTGACACTGTTGCCTAGAACTATTGCCACAGCGTCTAGCCAGAGGTATGACATTACAAGTAATACACACAACTACCCACATACCCCTATCTAAGGGGTACCTCTATAGGTCTATAAGTATGCTATCATGTATATAAAGACATAACATGTTTTTAGGTGAAATACAATTATTTCCTAGAATAGTCAGATATTTTATCTAACCACACAAAGGTAGAACTTTGTATTAACTGTATATTCTTTTTCTGAATTAAAAAAAAACCAAAAGGGTATAAACTTAGAAATACTCGAATGCTAAAATCCTATGAGACTTCTGGTTCAAGAAAATATCTTCTACTCTTTCATCCAAAATTGTTTTTAAAAGGTCTTGGTTTAAAAAGACTATTTCCTTATGTTCAATTTGCAAGTCTAATTAAGAAGCATTTACAATCTAAAAATTCAGAGTAAGTTATTAAATAGAACTCAGGTGTAGGTTGTTTTAATTGCTTAAATCATTTTTTTCCTTTATTGATATTTAGAGAGAGAGGAAGGGAGAGGGAGAGAAACAGAAACATCGATGAGAGAGAACACCAATTGGCCGCCTCCTGCATGCCTCCCACTGTGGATTGGGCTCACAAACTGGGCATGTGCCTTGACCAGGAATTGATCCAGCAACCTCTTTGTGCAAGAGTCGATGCTCAACTACTGATCCACACCGGCTGGACTGCTTAAATCATTTTAAAGCATAAGGTAACTTGACATTTTAAAACATTTACAATTATACTTCAAAGAAATGCTAGGGTGCTTCACATTCTGCCTGTAAAATGGCAATCATTTAAAAAATAACTAATATATCATCAAATAGAAAATCAATATTCCCATATAGATTTTTTTTTAAATTCTCTAATAAATTAGGCAAGGGGAACAGAAGGAAAACAAAAAAAAAGCTATTAAATGAGAGAAGTACTTTAGAAATGCCTGAGCCTTGGAAAAAAACAAACAGAAACAAGCCTTTGCTGGCTTCAGATACATTCATTAAAAAACACCAGGCAGGGTGGGGAGGATGCAACGAGAGAGGTAATTTTAAAAGGCATTGTCTAGAAACTAGAAATGAGGAGAAAACAACCTCAATGCTCTATGATTACCCAAGAACGGGTTTAGCCAGATGAACAAGTCTGTTACGAACCCTCCCCAAGGCATCTGAAAGACTATCAAACAAAACTTTATTAAACTGTATTAAATCGTCTCACTCATTCTATGTCGATGGCCATACACTCATGATCAGGTGGAAAAAGTTGATGCATGGCACCCAAATTAGGCCTGGGTCCTCTTTTCAGTTTGTTTTTATTAGTACAAGCATTGTTAAGACAACCCACTATTAAATTTCTGTGCCAACAGGTCAAGTTCCAGAATTGCAGGTATAAGCACTTAGAGCACTAAACCCAGCCTTACAGGGGTTGCAAGGCCATTTAGATAGGCTCTGGCTACAATCCCTGCAATAGCACTTGATTATATCGCTATATGCAATCGCACCCCACTTTTATTAGGAGACTTTAACCTCATGAAAAGCATGTTTCCCTCCTATCTCTTCTTTCAAGGACTTTCAAAGAAGAAAAACAACAGTCCAAATGTTTCGAAGTTCCTTCTACTTCCCCTTAATCAACATTCAGGTAAAAACCCATTTTCAATGTTTCCTTCCTTAACATATATTCTACAGAATATTTTAGTATTTAGTATATGGCATGTGTTCTTGGCCTTGTCATTTGTATTTTGAAAACTTTAGACTGAGTGTGTTCTGCAAATAATGTGTGTTTGTTCAACTAGAAGTATAATTTCTACTTTGGGCTACTTATGTAGGATCTTTTCCTTCATGAAATCAATGTGTCTATATCTAAAAACAGTAGGCCAAAACAATCCATTCATTTCATTGATAAATACACGAGATGTCTTTTCTTTACAAGCAGTTTCTCAGAAAGCCCCCGGAATCGACCACGCTGTTGCCAGCACTAGGTTTTAGTAAGTAGTGCTGATCACCGGGATAGCAAGCAGTACCTAACAGGCATACAAAATGTCTGCAGCCATATTCCTCTTAGTGCTGTGTCTCAGCACTGACCTTCCTTCAAAGGCTTTTACTTTTTAATGCAGCAGTTAGAGATAACTACTTCATTTATCAAACCTCAATTTCCATAGTAACATCTAGCCTGGGGAGATTCAAGTCCTCACACTAATCCAACAACCCATTCAAAGGAACTGTTGAATACTTTTGTTTCCATAGCAATGATGGAATAAAACATTTTGCTAGGTCATTGCTTTTATTAGCAAACTTATTCTTTGAACTTTAGGTAAGGCTGTGTTTAATGAGAGAAAATAAAACAATCATTTCGTATAAGTTCTTTCCTTTGGGGCTGTCCTTTTAACCAAAATCACAAATAGTGACAATCTATATGTTTGAAAATATTTGGGGTATTTGGAGGTTTTGAAAGCATGCCACCTGGTTTCATCCTAAAACGGGTTCTGATATAAAGTTTTAAAATTACAAAGTGTGTAAAAGTGATTAGATACATCTGACAAAATGTTTATAAAATCAAAGGGGCTAAATTTAAAGCACGTTTTGAAAAACGATCAAATATAAGCATATTAGTCTCTCAAATGCATCAAATGTGCGTTAGGGCAGGGTGTTAAAAAAACCATTAAAACCACCACCCCATCTCTGTCTGATTTTAATATTCTGCAATTTTGGCCCTTCCTTTCATCAAGCACAGAAAGCATGCTAAACACTGCTATTTTAGGCTAAAGGTAAAACTAAAAACAATGTATTAAGCAGTTACACTTTACATGCTAAATGGAAAAGTTTTTAGTGTTGAATATAGCTATATAGAAGCCAAATGATTTGTTAAAGAAAAAAAATGAGTTACATTTTTCCCCTTCATGATAAGAAATAGCAGTGCCATTACAAGTTTTAAAATCCATCAGTAAACATCATTGTTTACATTTTTGGGTAATTAATTCTATGTGAGGTGACAGGGCAATGCCTTCGTGAGGGAACATCAGCCTTCCTGGAACCAGACTTTTTCACTGAACTGAATTTTGAGCCAAGCCAGGGCTGAAAAGGTAGGCCATTAAAAAATAAAAGTTGACAGAAGAAAGAAGAGATCAAACAAGTGTTGGCTTTTAAAAGGATGAATACCACTTACACTATTTACACAACTCACAGAATTAACAAGAAAATTACATACCAGTATGAGTCCTCAGGTGAGCTTTTAAATGAGAAGACTTCGTATAAACTTTTGTGCAGCCTAAAATAAAGCAGGAGAGGAACAGCTTGTCATTTTGGAGATCCTTTGAAATCTTTACATTTGATGATTCAGTGTTTAAAATCTGGCTTTAAAGAAGAAATCTCTCATGCTAGATATCTGAAGCTTCAGTTTTAAAAAGCACTCCCCTATTACCTTATTAAAGGTATTAAAGTGATTTGCTTTATGTATGTATCACTTTAGCAGAAAAAGGATAATTAAGCCACGCTACAAATGGGAAATGTGTTTATATTCCAGTAGATGCTTTATAGTAGTAACACATACTTCAGTGATTTAAAATTTTTAATGGCTCCAGAGCTGACAATGTTAATTAACCATTATCCAAGATGACGGCCATTTTCTGTACTTCTACATTTCTTGTTTTTTAATTCAGTATGTCATGCCATATCATATACCACAGGTCAATACATTACACTCTGTATTTTTCATAAACTAGCTTATGCCAGCAACTTACAGATATATTCATTACCGTCATCAATTCATATATTGGGCCACGTATCTCATTCAAGAATGAATAAATATGCTCATATGCTATCAAAGCTATCCTTAAATCTATTCTATAGACAGTCTTGTCTTATAGGAGCCTACTGAACCCCCACTTTATTACCAAACTGCCTTTTCTCCTACCTTACTTATCTCTTTTCAGGGTACTTAATTTAGAATTAAAAACTCCAATTTATGATTGGAGATAGTTATGTTAAAATAACTCTGGTATAACTAAAAATTATAATTTTATTTAATATTAAAGAGAAAAAAAGTATACGTAACTTTTTTTCAGCATATTCTAGCCTTTACTTTTAAACATCAAATAAGCAACAGACACCTAAATGGTACGTACCAGGGTAAGGCCCTGAGACTGGGACATGAAAAGAAAAAAGATGATTTTTATTGTCAAGTACTATTTTCCCATGTAAATTTAAAGCCTGAGTTTGGAAAAAGGCACATACAAACATTTAAATGCGATGCTTCAACCAGGTAAGATCACATACCAGGGTAATCGCAGTAGTGGATGCGTCGTTTCTCCAAATCGGGGTTACTCCTTCTGTTGTATCTGACAGGTTGGATGTTCTGCGAATTAACTGGTAGGGTGGCAGGTAAATTTGGATTGTGAATTGCCAGTTTAGAAGCAATTGTAGCAGCATAGGATGGAGGTGGGGTTAAATTCTGGAGCATCTCTGCTTGTCTATCTGGACTTCCAGGCTCTGAGCTTGGTGGTGAGGGGGGAAAGTAAGTGGCCTGTTGTGGAAGAAACTGACTTGGCATTGCGTATGTGCAAGGGGGCATGCCCTGGAATTGTTTCATCGTAGTCTGCGGAACAGCAGAGGTGTGTGTGTTAAGGCCTGCCATGGCGGCTGACATAGAAACATTAAGAGTGTCCATTACTGCTGTCTGGTTTGTAGAACTGGGCATCTCTAGATCCGGTGTATTCAGTAGCTGGTACAAGTGGCCCTGCGGGGGAACAGAAAGATGAAGATCTGGTGTAGGAAGTTCTTGTTTGATGAAGATATTGTTCACCTCTGGAGCTGCGGTCTGATGTGAGCTGAATATACTGGTGAACTCAGGGAGGGCCTGGGTTGGGGCCGGAGGAGGGGCAGTCGTTTCACTCTGGTGGCTGAAAATGGTAACAGGTTCTGTCTTGATGTGTGTTACGCAGGGTCTCTGGGATTTGTAGAGGCCAGTTCTCAGGTGAGTGATTTCAGGGAGGAAGACGTTCATGTTGATACTGTAAGGTAACCCTTCACTGTCAGTGAAGAACTGGTCTACGACTGAGGCACTGTCTCGTCTATATTTTTTATGCTCTGGAATTATAGAAACTGGAGGAAGCTGAGGTGTCAGATACTTCTCCATTTCACATCTTGTCTAAAAAAAAAAGAGATACAAACATGCATAATCCACCTAATTCATCATCTCAGGAAGGACAAACGGTGCTTACTAAAAATTCCCCAACAATCCCTGTGAAAAGTAGTTGAGCAAACTCCTTCTAAGTGTTGCTTATAAATATATCAGGTTTATTTGTCAATTGTGTAATAACTGGTTCACTAAAACGTTACGAAACTCTGTAAAACATGTATTTGATAAAATTGCTCCCACAATCTCATGTGGACAAACAGTGAATGAGGCAAATCAAGAAAAAAAGGAAGCTAACAGAAAACATTCCTTTCTGATGCAAAAATATAGTATACCTTCTTATCACTCATATACAAGCAGGATTCCCTGCCCCATTACATAGTTAAGTTTGCAGTACTGTAATATTGCCAAGCTACCCCAATTCTGTTCATGTCATATAGGTCTGCAATGTGCATGTGTTTTTGTAACTAAGCAAATCTTAAATATAATATTGCAAAGTTGTGAGGTTTTCTTTTCTTGGATAGATATTACTGAAATATTTAACATAAAACATATTCCTTGGCTATTTTGTTGCGTTTTTTGGTTTACAGTAATGGAAACCTAAATACAATGTTTTGATCAAAACATAGTATCCACTGAAAGAACACGTTCACATTCAACATTTGATCTAAATGTTGATTTTAATCAGCAGATTCTGTAATTGGTTAATATGATAATGAAATGTTCCTATTCATATCCCTATCTAAAACAGATCTTTAATTACCTAGGGGAAAATCACTCCCTTGGTAGAGTGGTGCTAAGGAGCCCGTGGGTGGGGAGAGGCTGCTGTATCGCTAGAACAGTCATCAGCAAAACATTTATCATGTACTCCTCAGTGGGACAATGCTACATTCCCCCTGACTCTGTAAAAAGTCCAGTCATACCTTATACACTTGGTGTCTCCTAAGCAAAAAACTGATATCCTGAAATAACCAAATCGTTTTCAAATGGTGATTTTAGGGACATAATCCAGCTATCATTGTACCAAGTCAATCTTTTCACAGCTATCTTCTCTCCCAGTATAACATAAACGTAACTCCTCTTTTAACACCAAAAAGTGAATTTAAAAAGAAAAAATATACACCATAACTAGATGGCTCATAGCACGAATAACCGTGACATCTTAGTTGGGTGAATAACTCATATTTTGCTACTACTTAATTTCAAAAACGTTTCATATAGGACCTCGAATCACTCACTGAGGATGCAGCCTCGGTTTCCCGGATAAACACGATTTAAAAATAAAAATTAACGCTCGAATCATGAGTCATATCTCTGACAAATGCCACTGTCCTTTCATATCACGGCGACACTCGCAGACCCACCGGAGCAGGAGCAATATACCAAGGGGCTATTAAATGAAGCGTCTTGAAATAAACCGAACTAAACCCTTTCGTTCACTTCGCTCCTGTGGTGGTTAGTGGTTTCTGATTTTAGCTCTTCCAGCTGTTTGCATGTGGGTATGTTTCCAATTTTTTTTTCTCCTTGGGACAGGCTAAAAGTCCCGGGAAGTTTTTTCTGGGCTATATGACTCCCCTGCGTGGGCGAAAGAAACAGGCGGTTGCTCTAATTCGGCTGCCGGGCAAGTGTAAAAGCCAACTGCCAGCTTTCAGCGCGGCTCCGGGAGGAAATTTACGCGCAATGAAGAAAACAACAGCCCGGCTTTCTTCTTCGGTGCAGAAATAAACAAACAAGCAGTCCAGTGCAACCTCTGCTTTTCCGGCCTCCCGAACGCAGCCCCGCGATCGCGTTTACAGCAGGGTGAGCCAACAGAAAAGAAAACAGGACCCCGAGGGGCGGCCCTCCCAGCACCCCGACCTGCGTGTCCCCTTATCACCAGACGACGTGGGACAGGGGAGACCCCCAAGGCCATTGCACTGAGAGTCGTGGGGGACTAAGGCGAAAGGCGGGATGTAAGTGGGGCGTGAGGTACGAGGCTTGGCCCTCCAAACCTAAGAGAAAGCTAAGAGCAAAGAGGTGCGCGCGAGCCAGCTCTGTTTAACCTTTCCCGGACGGACCGCCAGGGCGGACTCATCTAGGACCCCCCCACACACACACCCCCTTCAGATCGGCCCCCTTTCGGCCGGCGAAACGCCGGTGCCCTGGCCAGGAGGGCAGGGCGGGGCTGCCCACCCGCTCGGCTCCCGGTGAGCCCCGACGCACGCCCAGCCTGGAGCGGCCCCTGTCGCCCGCGCGTCGCAGCGGCGAGACACGCCCGAGCCCCGGGAGGAGGGAAGCCGCTCTTCCTACCTGGACCAGCTCCTCGGGGGGCAGCCGCGGGCCCGCAGCGGGCGGCGGCGCTGGCTGCGGAGGCTGAGGTGGCGCGGGGGGCGCCTGCGGGTGGTGGTGCGGGTGCTTCAGCTCCTCGCCGAAGAGCGCCGCGTCGCGGGCCGGGTTCGCGGCGCCCAGCACAGGCTTGAGCTGCGCGAACACGGGCTCGTCCTGCGGGGCCGGTGGCTGGGGTACGGGTCCCAGGCGGGCACTTATGGATAGCACCCGCGTAGCCATGGTCACTCGGGGGGTGCGGCTCCGGTCGCTCCGCACGGATCAAGCGCGCTTCCCACTTCGGGCACGCTGGCTCGGGGCGGCGAGCTCCACGCGGGGCCGCGGGCGGAGGAGGGGAGGCTCCGGGCGGACCCCTCAGTCGACAGTAGGCGCGGCTTTCGAAGGCGCGTACGAAAAGCAAAACTCTTCCGCTCCGCCACGCGTAAACGCCAACGTCCTCCGGGCGGCCACTTTCTCCCGCCCCGCCCCACCGCGCTCTCTCACTTGCCGGAGTCCGCTCCCGCCACCGCCGGCCTCCGCGAGCGAGCTGCGAACGCGCGTACCTGCCCCGCGACTACTGACACTTGACGCCCGCGTCTATTTTACCCAACTCCGAGTGGGCGTGGCCCGTCAGCCAGACTGGCAGCGGTGTGGCGAATCCCGACGTCCCGAGGCCGGCTGGGCAGGAACGGCTAGCCTATGAGAAGGAAGAAGTTCGCCCACAGTCCCGCCTCTGTCGCGCTGACCGCACCCCTCTCGGGCCACGAGCTTCGCGCTCAGGGCGGCCGCGCAGTTTGTACACAACTTCTCTGACAGTGGGCTGGCGGAGCCGGGGGTGGAGGGAAGGAGAGAAGAGGGTGGAATCTAGGAAGAGAGGGAATTAGGGTGGAGACGTGGAGGGAGATCTCTTCGGACTGTTCTCTGCCAGAATAGGAAGAAAGAGAGTTTTGCACGTCTTAGGTGTTGTGCAAGGACCTGAAACTCAACAGTTGAAACCCAGAAGGCAGCTAGGAGGGGGCGCTAGGTTTTGAAAGACTTGTATAATGAGTGTATATTTTTAAATATACAAAATGTACTTTTCTTTAGCGGAAAACTAGGAGCAGTGTGATAAATTCAAAAGCAGATCTTGTCTCTTGTTTCTTTATCAATGAATATATCCAGTTAGCAAAGCACATTCGGAATGTACTGAATAAAAGATTTAATGGCAGGTTTGTTTTTTTTTAAGCCACAGATAACAGCTTGTTTTTTTGTTTTTTTTCCCCCCCACAGTATTTAAATGGCTAGAAATTTTCACACACACTTCTACCTCGTATCCGTATATGGAGTGAAGGATAGACCATATGAATTTTGAGGTTTTTAATACACTGTTGATTAAAGCTTAAGCTTGGAATTTAATTTAAGCACTAACGAGTAGATCAGATGTATTTAAATAGACATTACATCTTTGATTTATTTTTGAAAGCACTTTATGTTAAAAAATGGAATTTGATATTTACAAAGAAGAAACGTAGCACATTTACCCAACACCGTAGCACCTTTTCCTACGAAAAGACAACGAAAGAAGCCACAAACATTAGACAGGCAGCAGTTCTGAAAACTGGGAATCCAGATTTGTAGGAAAGTAGTAGCCAAACATGTTACTGTCCATTTACTGTTATAATGGAAAGGTGAATTTTTGCTATCAATCACCTAAGGAAACCACTTCTCTTAATCCTTAATGTTCTTGTACATGATTTTACCTGGCTTATTTGGAAGCCGGAACAATAAACTGTAATAAAAATGCTTGGAATATTGCTACATATACATTGGCAACACACTGTACCAGTAGACAGTTTTACATATACAACAGCCTACTCATCGCTTCACAGTAAAACAGCTTTAAAAAAAAACAAGTTGTAGAAAAACATTCGCTTCAAAGAGTAAATCAAAGGTATGGATCTCATTTCGGGGTGTAGATTTTAAAAATTAATATACACATTCAGTATTTGAGTTATTTATTATTAGAAAACAAAATTATGCTGGGAAACTTTTTTCCTTTTCATTTCCTTTTGCTATGTTTGTGATCACTGCTTTCAGAAAATGCTTGACGACTACTTTCATGTTACCAAAGTCTTATTTTATGTGTTTTTGCAAAAATTTTTTCTAAGAAAACCACATATTAGTCACCTTCACCTCTTAAAAGCTATCCTGATATTCTCTATTATTGATTCCAATTATGTAATTAAATAACTCAGAAACAGCTTATACACTTAGTATGGGATTTAATATAACTTTTTAAAAAACTGATCTTCAAAAGATTTTCAGTTATCTAATGCTGATGACATCAAATGCTGACTGTGATATAGATAACTTTTAATAGAATTTATGTATCCTTTTTATCTTTAATCTAAATCTAATTTAGAAGTTATATACTTTGTGCCCATTTACATTTTAATTTGCATTTAAGGCTATCTAGACCTGTCCTTCTGTCTTTCTTTTTACCAGTGTTAGTGGTCTGTTATTTCACTGCAATAAAATCCAGTTATTTTACCAGAAATGTTTCTATACATTATGCTATTTTACAACATATTTTTATTTACAAAAGCTTTCCCAATGCAAACAAAAACAGCTATTTGATAAATATTTAATGAGATATTTTTACAATCCTGTTCATTTTTTCACATTTCCACTTTTATTAGTGAATATAGATACGAACCTAGCTATGGTTGGGTTTGCAGCATATTTACAATAGGAAAGCTAAATACAATTTTTTTTTCCCTCAAATAGGATAGCATTTATTTAAATTTCACTTTGGACATAAGGAATCATGAACTAGGGCTGCCACTTTTAAGTAATGGTTTCTCTGAAATGCCCAGCTCTGCAATCTCACAGAAAATAACTAGTTCACACTGTACAATAGTGTGAAAATTGGAAAGGAATCCTTTTCTGTGACATTTGCCTTGTGATTCTGAACACATAAAGAACATGTTCAGCCAAGCTTACTTGCTGTTGCTGCTAACACAAATGCTGCAGCTGTAAACCTGCTTCACCGACTTAGCAAAAAGGGTTAAAACTTGATAAATATTTTTCAAATGTTCCAGGTTCTACACTGGCCTGACGCCAGACAGTGTGAATGGACAGATCCTCAATTACTTTGAACTTTCTAGTTCTTTGCATTCCTTCCTGCTTAGCAGTGCTGTACCATTAGGGAAGATAGGAGAAAACAAAAAAACAAATGTCAGGTTTCAGAAATCAATTAGGGGCCTGGCAGTGGTGTGTTAACTGAACTGTGTCAAAACAGAATTCGGAGGAAAAGAAATAAAAAAGTTGAGTAGTCAAGTTAGGTAGGAGGGTAAGCGTAGAAGCAGTGTGCATACTTAAGTCCTTAGTCACTGGGCAACACAGATTTAGTCTTAGAATAAACCATAAGTGTCACTATCTTTACGGGAATAAATACGCCTGAATGTGTGGGGGCTGAACAGGCATTCAACGATGGGGGAGGGAGAGGTTGAAGGAGGCTGTGGAAAAAAAAGGGGGGATAAATAGCTTCTGAATGATGAGATGAGAGAAATATGGAGCTATCACTAGGGCAATGTCCACAGGAAGACAACGGCAAAAGAAATATCTGTGTTCAGTTGTTCGGCCAAAACGTCATGGAGAGCTTGAAATTAAGGAATCCAGGGCATTTCAGATAACATTTTATTCACTTTGAGTGGAAAATATTAATGGAACAGCCCGTTTCTGTAATATCACAATCCAATTATTGAGTGATATTGGGTCACAGGAAAAGCACAAGAATGAGTAAAAAAATAAAAAAATAAAAAAAAATTTATAAGGGAGTACACTCTTCTCTAGGGTGAGATTATTCAATTTAAAGTGACTTTTGTGATACTTATTGCTTGTCCACCTACGTGTTAGAATCAGTATCAATAGAAACATAAAATACAATTATTGTTCTCTAAAACATTTCACCTTTTTGTTGTTGTTAATCCTTACCTGAGGATATTTTCCCATTGATTTTTAGATAGAGTGAGTGGGGGAAAGAGAGAGAGGAACATCCATGTGAAAAAGACACATTGGTAGCCTCCCACACAACCCTGATGGGGGTAGGGGATTGAACATGCAACCCAGGTATGTGCCCTTGATCAGGAATAGAACCTGAGATCCTTTAGTCCACAGGCTGACACTAACCGCTGAGCCAAACCGGCCAGGGCACATTTCACGTTTTTAATCTTTTTTTTTTTATTAATGGCAATTGCTTTCAGTCACACATCCAAAAAAAAGTCAGTGAGGAAAGAATGTAATACATAGACGCTTCAATGAGATTAGTCAAAAATGCAAACCATTTTTTACTCAAAAGATTGAGACGTGAGAAAAGAAGGTCTGTTCTTTCCTTTTGTGATAAAATATATATATATAATTTCAATAGGATTATATACTGATTTCTTGTATACATTAAGATGATGTCTTTCCCTGGCCAGTTTAGCTCAGCGGTAGAGCGTCAGCCCATGGACCAAAGAGTCACGGGTTTGATTCCGGCCAGAGGCACGTACCTTGGTTGCGGTTTGTCCCTGGCCCTGGTCAGGTCATGCGGGAGGCAACCAGTCAATGTGTCCCTATCACACTGATCTTTCTCTCTCTCCCTTTCTCTCCCTATCTCTCCTTCCAACTCTATCTGAAGATAAGTAGAAAAATGCCCTCGAGTGAGGATTAAAAGAAAAAAAGATGATGTCTTAAGAAAAAAATCTTGGTTTTGTCTCCCACTCCAATTCTTACATTAAATTTTATATTTAAGTTTGGATTTAAATGTATGTATGAACTATCTCATAAAACTCCCAATGTGCACTTACTCCTACATGTACTGTAATTTATCTAACTTATTTTTAAAACTCTAACAATACACACCAAAAAATAGAGCTTTACCTTTCAGGGGAACTGGGATTGCTTTTTTCCACCGTGTTGATATAATAAGCAGACAAAAGTGATGTAAGAACAAATGCCTTGAGCCAAGTTATAGGTCAGGCGTTCTGTAGCTAAACCGTACAGGATTGGAATTCCGACTCAAACATCAGAGGGAAGGTTAAGAGGAAAACCCTGAACTGAAGCAATTGCACCAAACAATCTTTTAGAATATTAAGGAGTCCACATCATCAGCATCACAATGAGCAGTGTCATGTGAACAGCAGACGAAGGCACTGGTGGTGCTAGGCTGGGGAGCTCAAAGGAACAGGGGAATGCTCTTTGGGAGGTTGACTTGTAAATGAAATGTGTAAATAGTGCTAATGCCAATGCTGGCTCTTCATGCCTTAACTTCTGTCCATGGGTGATAGTTGTGTAAACTTGTATAACATGTGAGGAGGACAATTTACCGATGAGTATGAAGAAAGCTGAAAATGTAAATGACCTTTAAAGCAACACATAATTTTCCTTCTAGGAAATATATACATAAATTGGAAATAACCCAGGTGTCCTACAATAGGAAAGTAGTTAAATAATACACCTATGCAATGGCTACTGTTTCACCACCAAAAATCTTATTATTAAAGAATATTTAGGCCTGGCTGATTTGGCTCGGCAGTTAGAGCG